GCTCCTCCCGGAGCCTGTGTTCCGGGCGGCCGCGCGGGTGGCAGCCTGTGCCAGCTGCAGAGCAAGATGTTCAAAGGGACAGCTCCGGGCTCAGGGACCGCCTGAGTTAACAAGCTAGGTGCCCGCTCCTGGAGGACGCACCTGATCATGAAGCAGCCCCTCACGCCGCCCCTGGGCCCAGAGAGGACCACCCACCCACCGCCCCGCCCGGGAGTTCACAGGCGGCTCCAGCATCGCTCAGGCTGTGCTCGCCTGGCTCTGTCTCCAGGCAAATTACACACCAGTCACGAAGGACAACCACCACCAAGACCAGAGCACCACGACCTGGCCTGCGCCTTCTCTGCGCTGCCACCCCCAGGAGCTGCTCGGACACATCCCGTGAGCTCCCTCCATCCTCACCGAGCCCTGCGCCCCCCACCCCACCCCATGCAGGTGACAACCAGCCCACTTGCTGGCCAGGACCATAGCAGCAGCAGCTCTGTCCCCTCCCCCCAGCGCCTCCTGCCAGGAACATGCTTCTGTGTCTTTCCAGAGACTGACCTGGAACCTTCAAAGGGCCCCGGGAGGAAGGCGCCCTCACAGCCGCCACTTTACAACCAGGAGGGAGATTGGAAGACGGTGTTTGCACAGCCTCACAGCTGTGACAGGAAGGCTGGGGGTGGACCCGCCTGTCTGTTTCCTCAAAGCCCCTGCTCAGCCAGAAATCTTTCTGGGTATTTTCACTAGCTCCCCATGCCTCCGCACTGGGGGACAATGGCATCACGTCCCACCCCCACCCTAATACAGGCACAAAGCACTTTGCACCCCGAGGCCCGGAGTGCTTGCGGGAGGTCTGAACACGCCCCAGGAGCCAAATCAATACAGGAATCAATACAGGAAAAGGCAAAGCTGTGACTAAGGTAAATGAGGTGGGGTGGGTGGGGCTGTCCCTTCTAGAATGCCACATCCGAGGCGGGGAGCGTGGTGTTCTTGGGGCTGCACCCCCCACCCCCCAGCTCTGTGACCCTGGGCAAGTTTCTTAACCTCTCACTTAGTTTTCTCACAGTATGGAGGCTCCTCAAAAAATTAAAGATAGAACTCCCATATGACCTTGCAATCCCACTTTTGTGTATTTATTTGAAAAAATCCAAAACACTAATTTGAAAAGACACGTGGACCTCTATGTTCATTAAAGCATTATTTGCAATAGCCAAGATCTGGAGGCAACGAAGGTGTCCTCTGACAGACAAGTGGATAAAGAAGATGTAGTGGATATATACAACGGAATATTACTCGGCCATGAAAAATAAATTTTTACCATTTGCAACAACATGGATGGACCTAAAGGGTGTTATGCTAAGTGAAATAAGCCAGCCAGAGAAAGACAAATATCATATGATTTCACTTATATGTGGGATCTAAAAAGAACAAACAAAATAGAAACAGACTCACAGAACAGACTGACGGTTGCCAAATGGGAGGGGCTTGGGGGCTGGGTGAAAAGGGTGAAAAGGGTGAAGGTCTTGAGAAGTAAAGGTTGGTAGTTACAGAGCAGTCACATGGACATAAAACACAGCATAGGGAATACAGTCAGTCATTTTCTAATAACTATGTATGGTGCCAGGTGTGTACTAGACTTATCAGGGGATCCCTTGGTAAGGCATAGAAATGTCCAACCACTGTGCTGTACACCCGAAACTAATGTAATGGTGATATCAACTAATGGAAATTTTTTTAAAAATTAAAAAGAAAAGACAACTCGGTTTTCTGCTCTGTAAAATGGAGATGACAGTGACATCGACTTTCTTGGGTTCCTATAAGGATTAAAGTAAATGAGGGAATGTAAGCAACAGGTATGCATGGGGTCAGACCTTAAAAATTATGTCAGGCACCCTGACTGCAGGCGCCCCTACTGTGTGGAGCATGGGGGCTGTGAGTCCCCAGCTCCGTCGGTTCCCTCTGTGTGAGCTGAGCCCCATACAGAAGGGGGTGGGAATCACCGTCACAGAGCTTCACTCCTCCTAAGGACACTAACTTTACTTGGGTCCCTAGATCCAGCAGAGGGTGTCACTGGGGGTGGGGCGGGGGGGACACAGTGACTTCAACCAGAAAAGCCCCAGGAGCACCCAAAGGATCAAATTTTAAGGGTTTGGAAATAAAAACACCAACTGCCCTTCAGGATGCGAGGGGAACGGGCACGTTGCCGTGGCAACCAGAGGCTGAATTATTCAGCAAGTGATGGCAGGAGAACCTCTGAAAGGAGGTAAAACAAAGACAAAGGGCTCCAATTAAACCATTTCTGTGGGAAAGCAACCCGGGGCAGGAGGCTGCATCTGACCTCTGCCGGGTTTCTCACTGGCTCCTGAGTCTAATTCCGGGATTGCTTTTCCATTTTTAAACGCATGACAAAGTCCACGGAGCTCCTACCACATTCTAGGCCAAGGTGTAGAATCAGTCACAGCCTCAGGTAACGGAGGAAACAGGCTGTCCTGGTGGCGTCCGGGGCCCACCGGCCCGCACGGCAGGCAGGGCCGGCTCCTGCACGCCGAGCTCGGCCGCCCGCTCCGCCCTATACCTGAACCACAGACTATCATGGTCAGTATTTTTTCTTTAAATTAACTCAGTTAATGCTCCACTTTAAAGGACAGCATGGCGTCTTTATCGAATAAAAAACTGATCCACTAGCATGGCTGGAAGGCAGCTAGGAAAATATTACCATGAGTAAATATTTTTTTTCACCTCTGGCTGGGGAAGGATTTCTCAAACACGGCAAAGATCGTGGGAACCATACACCCCAAGCTTTGCCCCTCAGGCCTGTGTTGGTAAATAAAGTTTTAGTGGCGCAGTTATTCACTACATTCAGTCCATGGCTGTGGTGGTGCTACGATAGCAGGGTTGTGGTTACAGGAGCCACGGGTCCACGGAGCCACAACAGTCATGACCTGCCCCTCGCAGCCTAAAGCATCTGATTGGTGACCTATGACCTTAAAAGCGAGAAACACTGCACATCCACGGGAAGCGTGAACAAAACGAAAATACAAGCCTCACACAGAGAGGACTGTGTAGCTCACAGAACTGGGAAGGGGTCAGAAGCCACCACTTCCAAAGGAAACTCCTAAAATCAGTCCAATAAAGAAAAGTGCATGAAACGGAGAAACCAAAAAGCTGAGAAGCATTGAAAACAATGTTGGATCGCACAAGAAACGAGAAATGACCAACCGAGCCTCAGGTGATCGCATGTGACTGAGAGACTGGGCGCAACGTGCTGACAGGTGAGCGCCCGCGGCGGGGCTGGGTGGCGGCAGCTGGGGCGACGGGGCCGAGATGGAACCAGGCCGGCCGCTTCCAAGAGCAGTGCAGCAGCCCCGGTGAGCACGGTGGCGGGCTCTGTGTACCGTTCCCGCCAGGGGACGTCAGGTGTCGGGGCCAAGGATGCTGCTGAGCACGTGACTGCCCAGGACGACCCCACGACAGAGGTCCGGCGTGGGTAGGGGCGAGGCTGAGCGGCCCGCAGTGGGTGTCGCGTCCTTAGCCCAGGGAGGCGAGCGGGGACGTGGAGATGCCTGGGCCAGCCTCTGCTGTCCCCGCGCGGCCACTTACTTGGAGAGCTTCATTTCTATCTGCTGCCGGATTTCCTGCCTCTCTTCGTCTGTCCTCCTGGGGAAAATGTTCCGGTCCTCGAGCTCCTGCTTGCTGGGCCGGTTCCTCAGCCTCACGGCCAGCAGTTCCCTCTTGCATTTCCTCGGCAGCGTTCCTGGGGGGGCGTGGAGGGGAGGGGACAGGTGTTAGTGAGGTGCAGGCTTGTCACTGCAGCCACCCACCTGCCAGAGGAAGGGGTGTGGACAGAGCAAGGGGCCACTGTCAGCTGGGGGAACAGTGGGCGATACAGGAGCATGGAGACTGTGCCATCTCCTGTGACCCATGGTGGGGGCGAAGCACACAGCCCAGGCCTCCAGACAGTGCTGGGTGACAACAGTTGCCCCAAGGTGATTATTAATAGTACCCACTTTTTCGTTCAAAAGTGTCCATGTTTGGATCACAACTTACTTTATTTGTGGCAACCCTCCCCATTGCCGTTACCCTCTGGCCAGGTGACTTTCAGTTCCTAGAACATCCCCCCCGGGTCTGTGTCCATGTCGGTCCCCTCCCTGGATGTGCTCTGCCCGCACCGCCCAGGGCTGGCCTCTTGCTGAGCCATCACCACCTCTCAGACAGGGCCTCGGGGCCTCCCGTCACCATCACGTCCCGACTAATTCCTCCCTCACCTGCCTCTTTCCTGCTTGTTATAACTTATACCGTGTCCCCCGTGAGACTCGAACTTCACCCGCAGTCTGCTCTCTGGGGTCCAGGACAGAGCTGGCAGAGTGGGTTACCACTGGCCCTGCTGAGCGAGCACCGGGGCTGGCTCGGGGCCCAGGAGGCTGGCCTGTGTCCTGCACATGCCCAGACGGGTAGAGTCCAGGCCAAGGAAGGTCGTGGGGAACAGGACGTCTGGACTCACTTAAGAGCAGAACTGGGGTGTGGCTGCCCTCACAGGCAGAGGAGGGTCACTCATTAGTGCCCTGGAAAGCGGGGTGTGCAGTCCATTGAGCTTTCTGAATGGCAGAGTCCCACCCGCCCCTCGCAGATGCTGACTACGGGCCGGTAACGGCAAAGCGTCACAGGCTGCAGGCTTGCGGGGGGGGTGTCTGCAGCCTGACTAGGGGCACAGATTTAAATCCTGGGGCTCAAACCACCACCCCACACGGTCACTCCCACAGAATGAAGCAAACTTTTTTTTTAACTTTTTTTTTTTTTTTAATCATCTGAGGATCTATTTTTTTATTGATTTTGAGAGAGAAGGGGGAAGGGGAGGAGGGGGAAGAGAGAGAAACACTGATGTGAGAAACATCCATCAGTTGCCTCCTGTATGGGCCCCGACCAGGGATCAAACTCACAGCTCAGGTATGTGCCCTGACAGGGAATAGAACCCAAAACCTTTTGGGGCAGGGATGACGCTCCAGCCCTGAGCCACCCGGACAGGACGGAGGCAAACTAAGAAATGGCTCCCAAAAGAAAGCCAGCACCTTGAGTGGGAGATGAAAACAGAAGTGAGAACCAAATCCAATAACATGATAGTTTAACAGAAGGCTGGCCTCAGCTGAGGCTGTTTCTGATAGAAACTATTTATGTGTTATATAGAGAGAAATAATGGCCTGAGAAAACATTCCAGCAAGGGCTCCAGCCTGAATGTTTTAACAGCTTTTAAAGGACTGCAATCCTGTCCTTGTGGGGTCCTAAAGCCCCGGAAGAGGCCATAGCATTTTTCAGTTCATCTTGACTGCGGGCTCTGGTGGCGCCCGTGAGGCAAAGGCACCTCAAAGGCCTCGGGGCCATGCCTTCGAAGATGTCGGGGGTCTAATCCGTGGCAGGAAGAGACTGCCGTTCCCAGAGAACTACATGTGTAACCATAAAACTACACTGACTGGCAAATCCTTTCAGCTTTTGATGAAGTTCCTAAATCCTACTGCAAATATCTCCAGCTTGTCATTACAAACTTTAGTCGCATTTGCCCTTAAATGAAGACCCTTTCACCACCAGAGAGATCTCTGGATATAATTCAGAATTCACTCCACGTAAAATCTGTGCACAGGGCAAGTCCTCCGATCACCATCCAGCTTCTACGAGCACAACCGGGCACACAGTAGGGCTGCAACAAAAACTCTTCAGGTTTTCCCAAGGCATCAGGAGGTTACTGGGTTTTGTTACTTAAAAGTCAGGAAAGGATATTTCCAGACAAGTAGCTTAAAATGAGCTTTTCATGAATTGGAGTAAGTGGTGCATCTGCCCAACTGCTGCGATTCACCTGGCCAAGCACGAGGCCCAGAGCTCACTGAGCAGGTGGGAGGCCAAGAACCAGGCCTGAGCACCCTTTTTTCCAGACTGGGGAGCAAGCAATCTTCCTCCCAAAGGCGCCCAAACACACGGTTTTCTGAGCTTTGACCCAGAAATCGCACTTCCAGGAGTCTGCAGCCCAAAACAAACGGTATGAGCACATAAAAAATGCCTACAGAGTGGCCACCCAGCCTCATTCATGAAAGTAAGAAATCAAGCCACCTAGATTTCCAGCAAGAGAGACTTGTGAAACGACGGGGCATCTGTACCACCTGAATACTGTGAGCCTATGAAGACAGTGTGGCAGGTATCCTCAAGGGACAAAGGGACAGTCACGCTGTTGCCGAGAAGAGCAAGACGAAGAAAGGTATGTTTTTACACAAACAGAAGCACAGATGTGTGTGCATCTGATTTTGTCAGGATATAAAACCTTACTGTAGATCAGCAGAGTAATGCCAGGAACGAACCACTTAAATTACTCATTTTAGTTTCCAGTGTTTTTTTTACACCGATTTATAGTTTTCTTAAGTTAAATATTTAAAAATAAACGACTTAAATAAAAAGACACAAATAGAGTAAAAGGACATAAGGGAAAAAGATAGTCCATTCTAAGACTAGTCAAAGAGAAGCTGACCTGATCTATTAATAACAGACGACATAGGTTTCAGAGCAAAGAGGCCCACGAGGAACAAGGAGGGGTCTCTCATAATGATAAGGGGACAACTTCAGGAGAGGGGAACAATCCTAAGTGTTTATGACCCTATTAAGAGGTTAAAGTACATAAAGCAGAGGCTGATAGGACAGAGAGGAAACAGTTAAGTCTAGTTACAGTGGGAGATGCCAAACCTCTAAGCAGTGGGCAGAACAAGCAGACAGACTCTGTCAGGATAAAGATGAGTGGACACCAAGCTCAAGAACTTGACTTGATTAACATTTTGAAAAACATGCTACCTCAAACCAAAAGACACACGTTCTTTTCAAGGGCACATGATACATTTACAAAGATAAACTACATTCTGGACCATACAACAAGTCCTAATAAATTTAAAAGTACTCAGGTCATACTAAGTATGTTCTCTGCTCAGAGTGGGATTAAATTGGAAATCAATAATAAAATGATCTCTAGAAAAATACCCAACTCCTTAAAACTTTTGACTAACCCATAGTTCCAACAAGAAATTGAAAGGGAAATTAGCATTTTGAAGTAAATAAAAAGGCAACCTATCATCACGGTGTTGGGAAACATTTACAGCACCAAATGTCTCTTTAGAAAAGAAGAAAGGTCTCGAATCAGTACCCTCAGGGTCCATCTTATCAAACTAGAAAAAGAGCCAATTAAAACCAAGGATGTAGCCTGGCCGGTGTGGCTAAGTGGTTGAGTGTCGGCCTAGAATCCAGGAGGTCAGGTTTGATTCCTGGTCCGGGCACAGGCCCGGGTTGCGGGCTCGATCCCCAGTAGGGGGCGTGCAGGAGGCAGCTGATCGATGACTCTCATCATTAATGTTTCCATTTCTCTCCCCTTCTCCCTTCCTCTCTCTGAAATCAATAAAAACATTTAAAAAACAACAAAAACCAAGGAAGTAGAAAAAATAAGAATCATATCAGAAACCAATAAAATAAAAAATTAAGGAAATATTTGAAACCAAAAGCTGGTTCTTTGAGAAGAGCAATAAAATTGATGAAACTGTAGCCAGACTTATCCGAGACAGGAGGGAAAAGACACAATCGCCCGCGCAGGGCAGTGGAGGGGTGAATCTCCATCTGACTCTGCACAAACCCTCACTCAAGAAGAAATATATAACCAGAATAGACCTGTTCTATTAAGAAAAGACTCCTAGTTAAGAAAACCTTCCTCCACATACAAATAAAACCCCTGCAGGGCCAGATGGATGCTCTGCTAAGTTCTATGAAACACACTGAGGAATAATAATACTGGTTCTATATACATTATTCTAGGAAACTGAAACAAAGGGGATACTTAAAACTCATACCATCAGGCTAGGATTTACTGGGATGTCAAAACCAGAGGAGATAGTTAAAACTAAAGACACCCTGGCCAGCATGGCTCAGTGGTTGAGCATCGACCTATGAAAAACATTAAAAAAAAAACAAAAACTAAAGACTAACAGCCCCACAAACTTCGATGTAAAATTCTAAAAATTTCAGCAAATCAAATTTGACAACTGATAAAAGTGCTAATCCACCAACTGGGAGGTGAGGCGAGGTGGTACATTGGTGAACGAAACTGATTGCTTTTCAAACAAAGTAACAAACTTCAAAGGAAAAACCATATAATTACCTCACCAGACCCCCTTCGACCTCTGGGGTCCTGGCCCTGACCGCCGGAGCTGGAGGGGGCTCACCAGGCTGTCACCGGTGAATTCATGAGGGAGACGAAAGCCGCCCGGGCCACAGCCGAGCTGGCTCAGAGAGGCATGCTTCCTTCCCAGCTACGGAAGCCACACTCCCCTCGCAAACAGCTTAAAGCCAACAGCTGTAGTAAGGAGACCCCTCCCTCCCCCCTCCCCTCTGGAGAAACCACTAGCGCTCGGCCGGTCCCCCTTCCACACTGCCTGCAGCGCGCACCTGCGGGCTCCCACCGGCCGCGTCCCCCCAGCGGCGCACCCCCGCGGCCTGCAGCGGGTCGNAAAACAGCTTAAAGCCAACAGCTGTAGTAAGGAGACCCCTCCCCTCTGGAGAAACCACTAGCGCTCGGCCGGTCCCCCTTCCACACTGCCTGCAGCGCGCACCTGCGGGCTCCCACCGGCCGCGTCCCCCCAGCGGCGCACCCCCGCGGCCTGCAGCGGGTCGCTCACGCCTGCCTCAGGCTCCAGGGCAGAATGAATGGACCCAGCCCTTCCTTCCAGAGGCCGCAGTTCT